CACGCGGGTCGACTCGCGTAATGTCTCCAACTACTCTGAGAACCATATCATGAACCAGGGGAAAAGACGCCTCCCATCTTCATATGTCTGTCTCTCCACATAGAAAATAATATTTTTACACATCCCATTTGCCGCATCGACTTCTGGGAGCTCATCTTGTCAGCAGCATTTATCATTCCTCTCATCTATTTCAGTCACCTCATCGCCACCATTACATCCATATGTACCGTTCTTAATGTTCTGCAATGTAACCTTGGTCAAGGCGCTATATAAATTACCTTAAGATAAGATGAGATTCAACACGCTGCACCAAGCTGTAGCATGTACATCATGCTGCAAGATCCGACCAGTTCCGTCCAGGGCTCGCTGAGCTGCATTGGCTTCCTGTTGCCGAACGAATACATTATAAGGTCGCACTCATTCCACACAAAGTGCTTGCCACAAATGAACCACATACCTTGATGATCTCGTCAAAGAGCACAAACCATCACGGCTTTTGGCTAGCCATCGAGCCAAGACGGCCACTGCATCCCGCCCGTTCAGATGTGCTTCTGCGGCCCTCTGGGACTCTCTTCCTTCCGACATTAGTAGGCCACTGGAGCTCTGCTCATTTCTTTAGAATTGCGTTCGTGTTCAGTTTGTTGTCCTTCCCCCGCACATTCGCTTAGCACGGTTGGCTATGTACGGTGCGAAAAAAAGTTCTACATATGTGCACAAAAAAACTCTGGGTTTCAAGATTCAATTTCAATGTTTCATTAGCATTCAGGCTTGCTTGAACGAGCAAACCATGGATATCAGTCAATTGATCTTCACGACCAATGTATTTCGGACGTGTTGTATATTAATGTGTATTCTTTTACATTCCAGCAATATATTTAGGAATACGATGCCAATGTCGAGGTCTGCTGGCCACGACGAGAGGGCTTCAGGAAAGAGAGAGTTTAGTTTGTTCTGTTCCTCCTCCTCCTCCGTGGAAGGAGCGCATACCACAGTGGTTCACTGTGTGGTCCACAGTGTGGGTTGCATGGCCAAAGTCACACTCCTATGGCTTGTGTCTTTAGTTTCCATTGACGTAGGAGATGTGCGTAGCGGCCTGCTGGTGTTCTGATGCGGTTCATGGTTACACCACCAGTGTCTTCGAAGAGGAAGTCAAAGGCAGGAGGTGCGATGTTTGGGTCTTGGGTGAGTGAGGTGTTTATACTGGACGTCAGCGCTGCTCCACTCTGTTATTCATTAACCGAGGGAAACGCTTACCAAGTTTAGCCGTCGCTAAGTGGCTGAAATGTAATTACGTCAACCACTTGTGCAATCAGTTCAGATTCAGCCGTGCTGGTTAATTTTTACACGTGCCTCGAATCGTGCGTGTAAGCATCCAATAGTTAGTGTCAAGTTGACTTTGTGTAACCAGGCGATAACTCAAAGGGCTAGGATGAGTGACGTTTGCAAGTGTGAGGTTGGATCACCAAATTACACAAAATGTATACATCAAATTACACCGTAGATGTTAAGCTGATAAAGCGAACTTGACATTACATTAGACAATTGACGATACAAACGAGACAGAACGCACGGGACAATGTTCGTGAAAACGCAACGAGACGACAGAACCGAAGCTTGAATCAAATCTTTACCCTGATGGTGACAATCTGTGGGGCGTGTGTCAGATTGGAAGGGCGGGGGTGGGGTGATGAATGAGTACACACCGCGGATTGTGAATGGTGTTGTTAGTTCGAGTGTGAAACTAAACTAACGTTTGCGGTTTTATTCGGCAGATCCGTGAGAGATCCACGGGGTTCCCTGACTCGGGCCACCTCTTGTCAGCCGGCTCAGGGCTTCTAATGCGCAATAAAGTGTTTACAACCTGAAACCAGTGGTGTAAATTCCACATTCCTACGCCAAAGGCGAATCTATTCATTTCTAACCGCTGCTGACTTCCCTCGAACGTGGCACTTGTTCTATAAACATCTTGCAGTTCAACAGAATTGCCTCAATAAAGCCTCACCCTTATGGTGAGACACTGAATGTCGAAACCGGTCCAGGGATTGCTTGTGTTAAACCAATGCTGCTCGAAGTATGCGCTCCCAGAAGGCTGCGCAGCTGAGGCGATGTGTAACTACATTTTTTTTATGTGGCGGGACAGATACGGGAAGGAGACAGATTGCTCGTGATTGTTTTGTGTTTTGATTGATTGCACTGTGTAACAATTTTTTTTGGTTCCTGGGTAATAAGTGTTATTTCCTAATTGCTTCTGCCTCAAAAGTACAGAAAATGGCTATTATTCCCCACAAACTTTTCTTTTGTGACCAGGACAGTGATATTTAGAAATTGACCTATTTTCCAGAACATTCCAGATAGATCCAGTGCTGAGTAAACTTAGAGTAACTTCTAGAACATTCTAGAACTTACCAGTAATATAAATAGTCGTATAAACACAGGGTCATTAACCCCACCAGTTCAAATCTTGACTTAAAGCTTTCGTGACTGCAAGATTATTATTTGGGTCTTTCGGTAAAGTCATGTAGATAGGTTACGTTTCGATCACAATACAAGCGATCGTCGTCAGGAGGAGTTAAGTGGAAACCCTCCCCGTAGAGGTGGTTCAATCTTGAATTAAAGCTTTCGTGACTGCAGGATTATTTTTTTGTAACCTATCTACGTCCCAAAGAATAATCCTGCGGTCACGAAAGCTTAAAGGCAAGATCTAACCGCCTCCATGGGGAGGGTTTCCACTTAACTCCTCCTGATGACGATCGCTTGTGTTGTGATCGAAACGTAACCTATCTACTTGACTTTACTGAAAGACCCAAAGAACCCACCAATTCAGTTTAGTTCCAGCTGCCTAAGTGGATATATATCTGCATTTTTCTGAGATGGCATCAAGAGGCTGCAAGCATCCAGCAGACACATTTTGCCAATTTATCAAGACAAGAGCGAAAAAGTACTCTGTGGAAGCATCTTCTAAAATGTGTGAGGCCTACAAGGCATATTTCGGCATGCCTGTCAGGGATCAAGACAAACCCTGTGCACCTCATTTCACCTTCGAGAAATGCAAAAAAACTCTGGAAGGTAGGATGTACAATTGTTGCTCAGAATTTAATGTTATAAAATGTGTAAAAAAATGATTATTTTAAAGTTTTTAATTTTAAAATGTTTACAATTTTGAATGTTATTGAAAAAAATATATAATATATGAAAAATGTTGGGAGAATTTCTTACACATTAGTCATAGGTGAAATAAATGTATTTTTTAAGGATGGTACAGAGGGCAAAAGAGATCCATGAAGTTCGCTATCCCAAGAATTTGGCGGGAACTCATTGACCATTTAGGCAACTGCTACTTCTGCATGGTGGACCCTTCCAAACGTCGGACTGGCAAGAATGAACCTGCTATCACGTATCCGGACCTTCCTTCATTCATTGTCCCGGTGCCACACTGCCATGAGCTTCTCGTACCCATTCCTCTGGAGAGAGAGCAGCTGTCTTTAGAAGAGAGCAGCAAGTCAGAGAGCAAGGAAGACATTGTAGATCCAGGTGACAATTTCAGAGGTGGAGCTGAGGAAAGAAACCCATACTACCCCAACTAAAAAGGCCTCAATGACTTGATCAGAGATCTTGGTCTCACCAAGTCCAATGCCGAGCTTTTGACGTCGAGGCTCAAGCAGTGGAACTTGTTGAATGAAAGTGTGCAAGTCGCAGATCAGAGGAAGCGTCACCAACTTTTTTGCAGCTTCTTCACCCGTAAAGATGGGCTCTGCTTCTGCCACAGTGACCAGGTCTGTTCAAGACAATCGGAATCGCCTGTAATCAGAATGAGTAGCACCTCTTCATTGACAGCTCATCCAGGAGCCTCAAAGCCGTGCTCCTCCATAATGGTAAAAAGTACCCGTCTCTTCCCCTGGCTCACTCGGTCCACCTCAAAGAGGATTACAACAGCATCAAAACCTTACTGGACGTCTTGAAGTATGATGAGTACGGCTGGGAGGTCATCGGAGACTTCAAAATGGTGGCATTCCTGATGGGTCTCCAAGGCGGTTTTACCAAGTTTCCCTGCTATCTTTGCCTTTGGGACAGCAGGGACACCAAGGCGTACTACCCCAGGTGGGACTGGCTACAGCGGACGGAGTTCTCTGTGGGGAGGAACAACGTCAAGTGGGAGCCACTGATGGACCCCCGGAAGGTGCTGATGCCACCACTGCACATCAAATTGGGCCTTATGAAACAATTTGTCAGAGCTGTAGATAAGGAGTCGGCAGCCTTCAAGTGCCTTCAAGACTTCTTCCCGAAGCTGTCTTAGCCAAAGGTCAAAGCCGGTGTCTTTGTCGGACCACAGATAAAGAAGATCCTGGAGTGCAATGAATTCCCCAAGAAGCTCACTAGTAAGGAGAAAGTGGCTTGGGGCAGCTTTGTCGCAGTGGTTCGTGGTTTCCTGTGCAATCACAAGTCTAAAACTATGTGGAGCTGGTTGAGACTCTGATGAAGAACTATGGCACATGGGCTGTAGGATGTCGCTCAAAGTCCATATCCTTGATGCTCATCTTGATAAATTAAAGGAGAACATGGAAGCGCACTCATAAGAGCAAGGAGAGCGCTTCCACCAGGATATACTGGACTTTGAACGCCACTACCAAGGACAGTATAATGAGAATATGATGGGAGACTACATTTGTGGGCTGATTTGTGAAAGTGATTTACAGTATAATCGTAAATCTCGAAAAAACTACTCACTCATTTTTGTATTACTTTAGCATAAAACATGTTAATTTTATTCATATGCTTTTTCTTTCTTCTGAATTTATGTAAACGAAAAAACTAAAATTCACCTTTTTTCTCTTTGAAAATAGGTACATTTCAAAATATCACTGTCCTGGTCACAAAAGCAAAGTTTGTGGGGAATAATAGCCATTATTTATACTTTTTAAGCATAAGAAATTACGAAATAACACTTACTACCCAGGAACAAAAATTGTGTTACATAGTGTTGTTCATTTCACACGTTGCAGGACAGGGGCCGAGCCCCCCGGCGTGCCCCCTGCGCAAGCACAAGGCGACACGAAAACCGCGGACACCGTTCACCACCTCCCAGCTGCTCGCCCTGGAACACAAGTTCAGGCAGAAGCAGTACCTGTCCATCGCGGAGCGTGCAGAGTTCTCGACCTCGCTCAGCCTCACGGAGACACAGGTGAGAACCTTCCTGGCCACGCCATCAATCGCGGTCCTCGCTTTTACATTGCCCACCTTGTTGCGCATCGCTAAGAGTGGCCAAGTAGGAAGGAGGAAGCGGCACTCCCTGCATGGCGGCGCTGGAGCCGAGGTGAAGGCACGTGAAGCTGCTCTCCCGATGGCGTGCGTGGAAAGCCCCGGCCGTTCTCGCAACGGAGCCTCTCCAAGTCCCTGTGGGTCCCTCCTGCAGGTTAAACAAACCGACTCGGACTTGGCTCCGCTCGGAACCCCTGGTGACGATTGTGGCCATTTTACATCATTGAGCGATTAGCCCTTGGGAGGCAATAGGAGAAAATCCCACACATATTGAGAGGGCAATGCACAAATAGATGCAGTAATCCATTACTGCACTGCCACCTTGTATCCCATCATCTCCTCCTTCCCCTCCACGGAATGAAAAATACTCATGATAAGGATTACCTCTGAGGAGATGGAGTGATGAAATCAGTTTATGTACAGGTGCTGGATGGATTGTTGAATCACAGGATTTTGAGAGGTGCCAGTGGCTTGGGGAGGCCTTCATCCAGCATTAGATGACATGGCTTATAATGATGTTTTTTAGATGCAGCTAATATATTTGCATATGGGTACAATGTTTTTGTGCTCAGAGCAAACCTGTAACGTATTGGCGCACGGTGCGAAGCCCTCACCAAACTGTTGTGCGCGACCCCGTGTCGCCCGCAGGTCAAGATCTGGTTCCAGAATCGCCGAGCCAAGGCCAAGCGACTCCAGGAGGCAGAGCTCGAGAGACTCAAAATGGCCGCCAAGCCACCCGCGTTGTCGTCGCACTTTGGCCTCCCCGCGGCCTTCGGGCCCCTCGGGGCGCCCCTGCCTGCTCACGGCCTCTACCTCACGGCGTCCGGGCTGTTCGCGCGACCCGCGGGCCTCCCCATGGGCCCTATGGGGCTGTACCCGACACCGGTGGCGTACAGCCTCTACCACCACTCGTAGTGCGAATTGTGCAGAGGACGGTGTCGTGGTAGCGCCGCTCCGTCGGGAGCGTGGAGTTAACTCGGCGCCTGGGTGGAGGGTGCCGATACATTCTGAGCATTGGTTATGAGCAATGCTTATGCAAGTCGATCGGTTAATTATGAACGTCGACGTGTGACGAACATTATGGACGTCGATACAATAAGAATATCGATGCATTGTGAGCGTAGAAGGTAGCGGGATAATAACGTTAATCGACAAAAGGTGGAACCTTGAATCATGCTGTCAGATGAATTGCAATCGTCACTGAAGTACTGTACTAACGCCGATTAATGACAAGGTCGATTAATTGCGTACCTCAAATCACGACAGTAATTAGTTACGGTTTTTTTCAAAATAAACTATGCCTGCACCGACGACACCCGTTAGGCCCGCCCTGACCTTGACCTCTCAGCGACCCCAGAGACGCCTCAGGGCTGAGCAGCAGGGCCGGGCGCATGCGGCCATCGGGAGACGAGAACCCAAACCGCGGAAGTCTAAATGACAGACAATTCCGTCTCCAATATCTCTATCCCTTCACATGAACTAGAAACGTATTTTTTCAAACACACCTCATCAGCCACACGGTTATAGTTCTGGGAGCGATTGGAGCGCAGAGACTGATGAAGATGCTGATGAGCACGGGGTCGTCCGGTCAGATCGCGACCCCGAGTCGAGAAGAGTCCAATCGTGGGAAGTCGGATCGTTACCTGCCTATCCTTTACCGATGTGCGTGTGCATCGACCTGGGAAGGTGAAAGACACTCAAAGCAGCACCTGCACTTGCATGGGACACTCCGCCTGTACGCAGCATCATTCCTCTCCCGTCGATGAGTCTACTGGAGTCAATGTCAGCTCAGCTCACGCAGCGTGGAGCAGAGGCCGGCATCGCAGTACACGTGTAACGTTGGCTCAACGTTCGGCTTTCAATGCGATCTCCATGTGTGTGACTTGAACGATATTGTGAGGGGACATGTCAAGAGTTTTGGTGACGTCACTGAAGGTCCCACTGATGTGGGCGAGTGCCGCCGAATGACGCTACTTGGCCAAACAAGTTAATAAATACAAAAGTACATTCTTGTATAAATTGTACACAAATAGCTATTGTATTGTTAATATGACGTTGTACATATATTGTACCTATGGAATGTGTCGGATGTAATGACGTGCGTGCATTGTACGTCGCCTGCACGTCGCGCTGCCCCTGCAGTCACCAGGAGCGTCTGTTCAGCACGTGGCCCGAGGGTTCATTGTTGCGTTGCGCTACCAGCCTCCCCGGGACTTTGTGAAGCATCACGACTGCCAACGGAACATTTACAGAGAGCACTGATAATGGGTAACACGTTACATGTGGCAGGTTTATTCCAAACAGTGATTCGATCAGTAGGTCGCGTATGGTGTGGTAATGTGTGGCTACACCGAGCTCTTCCAGCATGTCTGGTCAATGTCAAAGAGTGGACCAGACGTCTCTCTCGCTCGCTCGAGTGGAGGTCTCTTGGTTCGGCAGTGGTATGAGCAGCAGCTGCTGCTGCTGCTGTCTCCCCAAGACTCGAAGGGACACAACTCCCCTGTGCACGCCACGTGGGCCCACTTTCTGAACAAATGAGCGCAGCTCGTCACGAGGCACGAAGTCGCCTCTCGCGTGCGGACGACTCGGGAAGAGATTCCAGTCAGTGAAACCTCCTCCTGGGGCGAATGCATCTGCCGCTACTGGGTACACGATTTCAACTTCAAGTTACGACGCCACGTTACAACCAGCGGCACGATATTATTCGTAAAATAAGACCGAGGTTCTTAATTAATTAAAGAATCAGCAGGAATGTTAAGCCGAAATTCAGCGACAGAAAACTGGAGTTTGGCGTCGTAACTCAAGCGCAGCGCATTTTTCTACTACCAGGTCGGCTACTTAACCTTACTTCCGCGCATATATAAATATATACACTCACGTGTTTTGAATGCGGAGAAGCATTTACAGAATAAAAGTGTACATCGAAAGAGACTCTCTGGGTACTGGGGTGTGTAGGTGTTTGATGACAATAATTGACGCCATAATGGAATATATTTACCAAGGAAAGAATGAGTCTTAAGACTTTTTTTTCAGGATGACCCTGTACGCGTTGGGATGTTTGGTCAATTCGATTAATGAGTGTTTGTCACTCAATGAGTGTTTGGCCCTCCCGTGAGTATTTGGAACTGCCGCTCACTCACGAGAATGGACCATGGGACAGAGAGCGACTCAATGCCCGATTCACAAATACGAAGGAGGCAGCACAACGAGTCACTCCGCTACTCCCGATGCACTCATCTGGCTCAACCACCTCAACGTAAAATGTTGGTTGCTGCTGCTCCACATCAACGTCAGCCGCACGGAGACTCCGCGATCATTCTTGACCATCGGCCTACGTCCCTTCAAGCGACAGCCCACGTTTAGTGGCGGGTTGCGTTGTCTTAAACGTGAGTCTGTTCTCTCATTCGTGTGCTGATGTGACACGAGATGTTGAAACCGCCGGTTTAGGGCTTTGCTTGCGTGCGACCCATGCTGATGGGATGCGTCAACAATGATGGAAATGTGTTGTACGCCTCCTTCCCATATTTACCCCCAGATATGGGCCGGTGAATCGTCTGCCTATTCGTGTTCCTCTTTACAGAGATTCGGAATGTCGGCAGTAGATGGGAGGGCGGGTGGGGGAGCAATTCATCTCAGTAATGTTCCACTTCTCTGCGCTCGTGAGCGGTACAGTGGTGGATCGTAGGCCGACAGCGTTTCATGTCGCGTTTCTTTCACAGCCGCGTTCTTTCCCCTCTCCGACTCGCATCTCCAGAACCTTACAGAGCTCCCCACTCATGCATCACCCCCTCCTCTTGCTCCCCCACCCTACCCACTTCTCCGCCCCTCTGCCTTGTGTTTTCTGAAGGAAAGTCCATGCAGTTTCAGTTACGGTTCTTATATTGCGCGGCCTCCACCCCCACCGAATAAGTGTCTTAATAAGAGCGCCCAGCCTCCTCTGTCTCCGCTTATATAAATATATAAATAATATTTCCGTCTGCCGACACCAGTGAGTGCGGCCGATTGTTTCACTGGCACCGGGGCGGCTGAGACGCCAGTGGGAGGGGGGGGGGGCGCGGGCGGGCGGGCGGGCGGGGGAGGGAGGCGAGGGCTCGAGAGAGAGAGAGGGTGGGGGGGGAGATGGTTGGAGCGAGAGTGTTACGCTGGGTATTGCAGACGCGGTGTCAACGCGATTGTGCTCTTGCAAGGATGGACGAACTAGCAGACAAATATAGTTTGACAGATAGACACGTCGACATACACACACGTATCGCCATGGATAGACATGTACACGCATGCATGGTATTCAGACAAAACAAGTGAGCTGGCGTGGTGGAGCGGTAGCAATTGCAGAGGTCGCAGGTCCGATTCCATCTCCCAGCTCGGCATTTTAAACAATGGAGCAATTTCCCCAAATTCCCCGTGCGCTACGATTAGTCGGTCGACAGGTCGCGTGCGGTGGGGTAAAGTGTGGTTACTACCACCACCACTTCCAGCACGTCTGGCGAAACTGGAAGAGAAGACGAAATACGCTTAAGTTCGATCGAGTGGAGACCCTTCCACCAGCAGTGACGTGAGAACGTAGTTGCAGGGCCGCACCTCTCTCTCTACCTTTTGTTGAGGACACAACCAACAGACACGAAGAGACCAACAGACGCACAGAAGACGCTCTTTATGATCACACGAGTGTCCGTTGAGATCAAAGGTCGTCTCTGCAAGGGAGACCCGGTTGAATTATGATGATGATCATAATGTGTTAATAACGTAGTGCTCTTCATACAGGCAGGCCTCAGTGAGTCTCAACAACTCTTTCACGAGGGTCATGCCGAGTACTCTGCATGGACTTTGAGAAGTGGTTTGCTCCGTGTGGGAGGGAACCAGAAGAACAGCACGCTATTAGCACGGTTGGCTACGTACGGTGCGAAAGAAGTTCAACACACATATATACGAACTTCCGCTACACAGACGGCTAACCAACTTGCTTTACTGTCATACCCTCATTACCTCGGAGCGCAGCGAGTTTTGGGGCGTCTTCACACATCTGTGCGTGATCCAGCAACCCTGGCATTTGGGACAGTGCGGTTGCTGTGTGCTGAGTGCCTACAATGGATGGCCGTCTTAACATCGAGACGTCTTCGTGGCCCAAGCAGTTCATGCCACGAGCGCACCTCGACACCAACGCGGTGTCCACCCATCGACTCACACAGACACCCATCGACTTACACAGACACCCATCGACTCACACAGACACCCATCGACTCACACAGACACCCATCGGCTCACACAGACACCCATCGACTCACACAGACACACATCGACTAACACAGACACACATCCACTTACACAGACACACATCCACTTACACAGACACACATCGACTCACACAGACACCCATCGACTCACACAGACACCCATCCACTCACACAGACACCCATCGACTCACACAGACACCCATCTACTCACACAGACACCCATCGACTCACACAGACACCCATCCACTCACACAGACACCCATCCACTCACACAGACACCCATCGACTCACACAGACACACATCGACTCACACAGACACACATCCACTTACACAGACACACATCGACTTACACAGACACCCATCGACTCACTAAGACACACATCGACTCACACAGACACCCATCCACTCAGACACCCATCGACTCACACAGACACCCATCCACTTACACAGACACCCATCCACTCACACAGACACCCATCCACTCACACAGACACCCATCGACTTACAGACACCCATCCACTCACACAGACACCCATCCACTCACACAGACACCCATCCACTCACACAGACACCCATCCACTCACACAGACACCCATCCACTTACAGACACCCATCCACTCACACAGACACCCATCCACTCACACAGACACCCATCGACTCACACAGACACCCATCCACTCACACAGATACCCATCGACTCACACAGACACCCCTCGACTCACACAGACACATCGACTCACACAGACACATCGACTCACACAGACACCCATCGACTCACACAGACACACATCCACTTACACAGACACCCATCCACTCACACAGACACCCATCAACTTACACAGAAACCCATCGACTTGTACAAAGACCCATAGATGCGCCCTTACAGCCTCCCACCATCGGGCATCATGTCTTCCCACCACAGGAGTTACTCATTTAAGTCTGAGTCGATCTAGGGAAGACCTTGAACCAGTTCAGAAAATCGCCACTGATGTATGCCGTGAGTGGAAATGGAACTCGAGCTGCCCACCACTCACTGTAAGCACAATGGGCTTCGTATAAAAATAGAAAACGCTAACGCACAAAAATAATAAAATGCGTTCCTTGAAGTGGGTGCTACACGGAATAAACCGCAAATAAGTCGCATGTGTGCAGCTCGATTGCGCCCCGGGAGTCGGGGCGTGTCCACACGCGGCCCTCCCCAAGAGGGCCGCGTGGAGGAGGGGACGGGACCGTGTGGGGGGGGGGGGGGGTCGTGGCGCTGCTCATAAAGAAGAAGGGTAATTACGGGTCGGGTTATCTTCAAACGCGGCTCGGCTCCACCCCGGCTCCGGCGAGACTCGACGCCGCGAGCTATGGTGGAGGGTTCTTTGAAAGGAGGCGCCGCCCGCCCGCCCGCTCGCCCGCCCGCATCCCCGGCGGCTCCCACCTCCCTCCCTTCTCTCCTCGCTCGCGCGCGCGCGCGCACTCCGCCTGCACCCTGCTGCACTCCGCCTGCACCCTGCTGCACTCCGCCTGCACCCTGCTGCACTCCGCCTGCACCCTGCTGCACTCCGCCTGCACCCTGCTGCACTCCGCCTGCACCCTGCTGCACTCCGCCTGCACCCTGCTGCACGCTCCGTACTCCTCCCCAAGTCTCGCATCTGCCCCCACATCCTCCCTCCTCTTTCGCGCATTCACCTCGTCTCTCCCTCTCTCGTCTGCTCCCTCCTACTCTCGTGACCAGCCGATATGTTCATAACTGAGACGTGTCGTTTATAGTACGTCAGTCTTAAAAATATAAGTGACGTTTCGGGTAATGACCCTTCTTCATAGCATATACATTCTTTTTAAGACAGGGTCATTGACGAATGTGTTGCGCTTTTTGCTATTTGTACAAAACTACCAACCCAGCAACATGACATCACGTGTTGGGTTCTAAAAACATCTCAGTCGCGGGGAGTTTAAAAACCTCCTCCTCCCTCCTGCACACTCCGCAATTCTGCTGCCCCACGTGACTCTACTCCTCCTCCTTCCTACAACCTCCTCCACCAACTGCATTCTCGTGCCTCCAACATCCTCCTCCACCCTCCTCCTCCTCCCTTCAACGGCACTCTCATCACATCGCTTATTCCCCCTTTCTCTCGTTATAATACATCAACAAAGACACATCGCCCTATAGCCCTTAAGCAGACTGTGGCTAGCACCAGTGACGATGCTTATACCTGGGTATGCGGCTGTGTGCACACTGTTTACACATCGCACGAGGTACTCATTTGAGGCTGAGTCGACCTAGCGGAGACCCAGGACCGGTTTATATATTCGTCACTGATATTGGCTATGGGCTGAAATCGAACTCGTGCCACCGGGTTCATAGCGCAGTGCGCTAACCACGATGCCACACATCGCACACACGACGCACTTTTCATGTTCACATATGTGCACCGCGCTCTCCAGCACCCCCATATCTCCCCCTATCTCGCTCTACCCCCCCCCCCCCTCCTGGGCATGTGTTCCATTCAAACACAAAAATGGCCCCTTCTCCAAAACAGAGCGAGCAGCATTTGATATCGCGTTCCATCCCTCTTCCCCCTCCCTCCTCCCCCCTCCATCCCACCCTTCCGCGGCCCACGACCCCCTCTCCCCTCTGTATAATTGTGAGCGTTTAAAAGGCATTAAATAAAGGGGGTTTATTCGGGGGCAACTG